GGCTGTATCCCACCAAAGCAAGGTTGCCCAAAAATGAAAAACAAAGACGTACTTATCTATGTTCATGTTATAGTGGATGATAGATATACTCAGGCTTCTAATTGTATTTCTAAACATTCATCTTCATTATTTCTCTCCTAATTATTATTACTATTGTTAGACGCAGACACACCGAAATTATATTCTACATTTGCCTTCAAGCAGATGTTTCATTTATTCCTATGACTGTTGAGACCCCAAATCCTGAAGTGTCTCTCTGTGTCACAAAATATTAAAAAAAAAAGTTACTTTTTCTTATGAAATGATAGAGAGTCTTCTTCCGATGGTAATGACAAAATTTAATGAAAAAGTTACGGAATTACGCTCTCACAAAGTTAGCGATCTCACCGATGTATTCATCGGCGATTTCACCCAATTTGAGCCCTATTTTCAGGCAATTCCATTGTTCTGGTCGACCAAACTCATAGCTATTTCTTTAGAACTCCATTTGTTCTATCAATTGAGTACAAGAAACTGCCCATTTACCGGTTTCAACTACCCAATAAAGTGGTCAGAAATTGTCAATGTGACCAATTTCACACAAATTAAAAAAGATGCCAATTTCAAAATAGGGTCCAGAATAAACAATACAGACATTCCTGGCACTAGAATAATATTTTCTCTGTTCATTAGTCATGTCTCCAGGCCCCATTTACTATCTGTTTTGAATTTTTATTCACACAAAAAATAGTAGACTTACTGTAATGCAGACTACTGCATTATTGCAATAATTGTATAAATAATGTCAACCCATTCATGACTGCATATTAGACCGGCTAGTTGGACACGTATTGGACAGTGACGTCATTTGTTAAGTCTTGAACATCGGCAAAAATCAAACATTTCTGCTACTTTGAGCTGAGTTTCAAGACCATGTCAAAACGAATCAAAATCATTTCTATTTCTGAAATATATCTTCCATTCTATCAAATGAGACCAAGAAAACAAAAATACAACCATAAATACTATATGAAAATGCACCTCAGAGTCGGCGTTTTAATCCAAAAACACGGTCAGAGTTTTTTTTTTCTCATGCACTGCGTGCTGCAGGATTTTTTTTATACTGTGCACACTGACTGCACAGACCCATTCTCTCACATGTGGGCCTACCAGCTTTCTCCCATTTGATTTGAAGCCGGTAGAATTTTGGCGTATTAATACAGTAGGGCCCCACTTATACGGCAGGTTAGGTTCCAGGCTACCGCCGTAAAGCAGAAACCGCCGTAAAGTGGAACACCCTTTTTTTCCATTTATAAATGCATACAAACACTAGATAACAAGTTTACACTAACATATATTAAGTTAGCAAAAGAACTAGGCATCAAAAAACAATAAAAAAGTACAATACACACATAGTGCACTCATTACTTACCTTAAAATATTAGTCATAATCTAGGGTGAGACAAGTAGTATTTATTGTAAGAAATCAAGTGTGGTATGTATGGTAGTCAGCCAGGCTACCTTACCAGGCCACCCCACCCACACATACTATTCTATGATATTTAAGCATCCCAGAGCGATAAAATGTATATACAGTTCACTCATTACTTACCTTAAAATATAGGGTGAGATGAGTAGTATTTATTGTAAAAAATCAAGTGTGGTATGTATGGTAGTCAGCCGGGCTACCATACCAGGCCAACCCACCCACACATACTATTCTATGATATTTAAGTATCCCAGAGCGACAAAATGTATATACAGTTCACTCATTACTTACCTTAAAATATTTGTAGTCTTAATGTAGGGTCAGGAGTAAGTAAATGAGATAAAATGAATAAATGAGAGAGAGAAAGAATGAGTGCATGAGAGAGGACAGGCGCAGAGTTATGTAAACAAACCAGGCGAAGGTAAGTTTTGTAAACGAAGTGTACACGTCTGGTTTGTGTACAAGTTACATTGTGTACAGGTTGTTTCTACATTGATACGGTAGAATAAATAAAGAAGAACACTCCCATTCTCATGTAACATCATTTTGAGAAGAAATGATGCTCTGAGTGAAGGCAATGGAAATAAGTCACTCTTGACTTTTTTGGGTTATCCTAGGTTCTCTACACATATGTTGTTACCTGGAGTTTTACCTGGAGAGAGTTCCGGGGGGTCAACGCCCCCGCGGCCCGGTCTGTGACCAGGCCTCCTGGTGGATCAGAACCTGATCAACCAGGCTGTTGCTGCTGGCTGCACGCAAACCAACGTACGAGCCACAGCCCAGCTGGTCAGGAACCGACTTTAGGTGCTTGTCCAGTGCCAGCTTGAAGACTGCCAGGGGTCTGTTGGTAATCCCCCTTATGTATGCTGGGAGGCAGTTGAACAGTCTCGGGCCCCTGACACTTATTGTATGGTCTCTTAACGTGCTAGTGACACCCTTGCTTTTCATTGGGGGGATGTTGCATCGTCTGCCAAGTCTTTTGCTTTCGTAGCGAGTGATTTTCGTGTGCAAGTTCGGTACTAGTCCCTCTAGGATTTTCCAGGTGTATATAATCATGTATCTCTCCCGCCTGCATTCCAGGGAATACAGGTTCAGGAACCTCAAGCGCTCCCCGTAATTGAGGTGTTTTATCTCCGTTATGCGCGCCGTGAAGGTTCTCTGTACATTTTCTAGGTCAGCAATTTCACTTGCCTTGAAAGGTGCTGTTAGTGTGCAGCAATATTCCAGCCTAGATAGAACAAGTGACCTGAAGAGTGTCATCATGGGCTTGGCCTCCCTAGTTTTGAAGGTTCTCATTATCCATCCTGTCATTTTTCTAGAAGATGCGATTGATACAATGTTATGGTCCTTGAAGGTGAGATCCTCTGACATGATCACTCCCAGGTCTTTGACGTTGGTGTTTCGCTCTATTTTGTGGCCAGAATTTGTTTTGTACTCTGATGAAGATATAATTTCCTCGTGTTTACCATATCTGAGTAATTGAAATTTCTCATCGTTGAACTTCATATTGTTTTCTGCAGCCCACTGAAAGATTTGGTTGATGTCCACCTTGCAGTGTCTGCAATGGAAGACACTGTCATGCAGATTCGGGTGTTATGCATGATAATCTATGTAACTGTATTTGTGTATACCTGAATAAACTTACATACAAAAGGAATAATTTTCTACAGTTACCCCCAGTAACACATTTTCTCTTATGTTAGATTAGAGAAAATGTTATTCTTGCCGTCACTTGTACAAGTTATCTGGCTACCACATCTCATATTTATGTTTATTTATTCTATTGTGGGGTGTATTTATCATCTTTTTATGTTATGTATCGTGTTTATTATATAATTTTGAAAAAAATATCATGGATGGATTAATGAAAATGTGTATATTAACGTAATATACAGCATTTAATGAGACTCGGTGAGTATCATTATTATTATTATTATCATTTCTAATATGGCGTCACTTGTGCAAGTCGTCTGCTACCACATCTCACATTTATGTTTATTTATTCTACTGTGGGGTGTATTTATCTTATTTATATGTTATGCATCGTGTTTATTTTATAATTTTGAAAAAAATATCATAGATGGATTAATAAAAATGTGTATTTAACGTAATATATGACATTTAAATGAGACTCGATGATTATTATTATTACTAATATGACGTCTGGAGACATAAGACACTTACCGATTTTAATGTGCACCTGCATACCAGCACAGTATGTAAGTTTATTTAGGTACAGGTATACATAAGTATAATTATCAGAGTAAATATGAAATAACTTTTAAAAACATTTGAAATTTTGGAGTTTCCAGACAAAATGGAGAGACTTACTGCTTTCTGAGCTCACGGAGAATGTAAACAAATAGGGTGGGGCGTGGTGACCGTATTAGAAAGTCAGGTGGGGAGAGCCGTATAGCGAGTTTTGGTCATAATTTGAAATGACCGTATTAGTGGAATGCCGTAAAGTGAAATGCCGTAAAGCGGGGCCCTACTGTATATCAAAAACACTGGCTCATAAGACGTATATACACGTATACGACACCGACAGTCAAAGGGTTAGGGAAGAGGAGGGTAGTTTAAATTCCTTGGATAAAGAGCTCTTCTTTAAAATCAAGGCATCTCTTTTTAATGGGATTGATGGGGTACATTTAGTACTTTATTGAATATTAACCCTTTCAGGGTTGAGAGGCTCTCTCCTAAACTTGTTCTCAGGATAGAAAATTTTTCGGGAAAAAATAATTTTTTCTTATGAAATGATAGAGAATCCTTTCCCGATCATAATGACACCAAAAGTATGAATTTTGCTGGAAAACTTAGAGAATTATGCTCTCGCGAAGTTAGCAGTCTCGACAATGTTTATGCATCAGCGATTTTGCCCACTTTGAGCCCTACTTTTGGCCAATTTCAGTGTACTAGTCAAGAAAAATCATATTTATTTTGATAGAACTCCATTTTTTCTATTGAATGAGTACAAGGAACCACCCATTTACTGATTTCAAGTATCCAATAAAGTGGACAGAAATTTGCAATTTTGCCAATTTCACACAAATTTCAGAAGATGCCAATTTCCAAATAGGGTTCAGAATAAGCAAGACAGACATTCCTGGCACTAAAATAACATTTCCTCTGTTCATTAGTCACGTCCCCAGGCCACTCTTAGATCTCTTTTGCTTTCCAGTTTGAATTTTTATTCTCACAAAAAATAGAAGACTTACTATTATGCAGACTACTGCATTAGTATAGAAATGGTGTAGAAATGGTATAAATAATATCTGTGCACTTCTGAAAGAATATTAAACTCACCAGTTGACGTGTATTGGACGCTTGTCATGATTTGTTTACTTTTGAAATTTTGTAAAAATCGAACATTTCTGCTACTTTTAGCTCAATTTCAAGGTACTTTTCATTATGAAAGCAATCAAAATCATCTCAATATGTCTTCCATTTTATGAAATGAGACCATGAAAACAATTCACATTATTCTAAATAAATTTATTTTAACTTATCCAAATCTGTTTCTCGTTTTAACCAGATTGATGCAGTGGAGAAATATGGCAGTCTTGACATGGGTCTCGAATTTTATACGGATGTAATGGACCTGGACTACCTGTTAGAGTTTTTTAATGACTCTCCTATTATGAAAAAGTATTTCAAGTTGAATAAAGCTCTAGCAGATGTGATCAGTGATTATTCACTTGTATCCTTCATTCCCATAAGTGTTGAGAACCAATCTACGCTTCTTAATGTCATGAAGGTATTGTAACTGTGTTTACAGTATGCTTGCAATAGGTACTGAAGGTTTTTCTCATTACTCTGGTGACTGATTGCAAATATAATGATTCAGTAACAGTTAGAGAAGGTTTGTTGTCTGCAACCACCCTGATGAGTCCTGCCATTGTGTCATTTGAGCATAGAAGGAAAGCCTGTTTAATGTTTTTCATTAGTTGGAGTGTTGATCTTTTCTTATTTGAATTATGATCATATTAGATGACAAGTAAATCATACAAACATCTACTTGCATATTTACAACAGTGAGTGATGATGTCAGTACATATTTAGTTGATTATGTAAGTAGTGAGCTGACCTGTGTCAGGAGCACTTCCCTGAGTCCTGAACAGCTGTACCATCAGATGAAGGCAGAGCAGCTGTACCATCAGATGAAGGCAGAGCAACTGTACCATCAGATGAAGGCAGAGCAGCTGTACCATCAGATGAAGGCAGAGCAACTGTTTCATCAGATGAAGGCAGAGCAGCTGTTTCATCAGATGAAGGCAGTGCAACTGTTTCATCAGATGAAGGCAGAGCAACTGTTTCATCAGATGAAGGCAGAGCAACTGTTTCATCAGATGAAGGCAGAGCAGCTGTTTCATCAGATGAAGGCAGAGCAACTGTTTCATCAGATGAAGGCAGAGCAACTGTTTCATCAGATGAAGGCAGAGCAGCTGTTTCATCAGATGAAGGCAGAGCAACTGTTTCATCAGATGAAGGCAGAGCAACTGTTTCATCAGATGAAGGCAGAGCAACTGTTTCATCAGATGAAGGGAGAGCAACTGTTTCATCAGATGAAGGCAGAGCAACTGTTTCATCAGATGAAGGCAGAGCAACTGTTTCATCAGATGAAGGGAGAGCAACTGTTTCATCAGATGAAGGCAGAGCAACTGTTTCATCAGATGAAGGGAGAGCTGGAGGAAGTTAAGAATAAACTCTAATTTCTTAGAAAGGAGAATAAGAAGATTCAGTACTGGAACAATAAAGAAAATAACTGTAGTGACTGGAAATTGATCTTTTAAAAAGAATTAAAGCTGAAAAGGAAGGTGGAAAGCACTGATGTCAAGACTACCATTTCCTTTGCTGTATTGTCTCATGAATATGATTCAGCCACTGAGAATGGCACAAAAAATACCAACCTTTCATAGGGCAAACCCTACATTGTCTTCCTTCCATTACAGATTTATACACCTTCCGAGTCATCCTATTTTTCTCCACTCTGTCTGAATCACCTCAACAACCCCTCCTCAGCCCTGTGGATAATACTTTTAGTAATTCTGCACCTCCTCCCAATCTCCAACCTAAGAATTCTCTGCATAATATTTATACCACACATTGCCCTCAGACATGACATCTCCACTGCCCCCAACTTCCTCCTCACTGCAACATTCACAACCCATCCTTCACACCCATATAAGAGTGTTGGTGCCACTATTCTCTCATACTCTATTTTTTTTGCCTCTGTGGATAATGTTCAGTGGACCACCCACCTTTTTCTCCTTCTTCAGAACTGTAACTCACTTCATCTTTCATAGATCCATCTGCCAGCAAGTCCACCCCCAGATATCTTGAACACATTCACTTCATAATCCCTCCTTCCAATCTGATATTCAGTCTTTCATTACCAAACTCGTTTGTTACCCTCATCACCTTGCTCTTTCCTATGTTCACTCTTAATTTTCTTCTTTTACATATCCTCCCGGATTCATCCACTAACCTTTACAACTTCTCTTCATAATCTCTCAAAAGCAGTGTCATTGGCAAACAGCAGCTGTGGCAACTCTCATTTTGTATTAGATCCTGCATATTTTAATCCCACACCTTTCCCCATCAACCTAGCATTTACTTCTTATTCAACCCCTTCTATAAATATGTTAAACAAGCAGCAAGTATCCTTGTCTAAGGTCTACTATTACTGGAAAATAATCTCCCTCTCTCCTACATACCCTAACCTGAGCCTCACTGTCCTCATATAAATGTAGTACAGTGGTACCTCGAATTTCGAACCGCTCCCAACTCGAACAATTATGTAAGTGTATTTTTGTAAGTTCTTTTGTAAGTGTATTTTTGGGGGTCTGAAATGGATTAATCTAACTTACATTATTCCTTATGGGAACAAATTCGTTCGGTAACGGCACTTGAACAGCCTTCTGGAACAAAATTCGAGGTACCACTGTACTATAAAAATGCAATGTTGTAGGTATAATTATTTTAAAAACTCTCAGGTTGCATCTTGAGAGTTAACCACAATATTTGCTATCTAAAATGCCATTTTTTTTTTTTTTTAAGAATGCTAACATGGTATTTGCAGAACATTGTCTAACAATAAAATTTCCTCTTCAGGCTGTGGACAAAGCAAATGGTTATTCTTATGGAACTGGAGAAGAAATGAATATTCAGCAGTTATTATCTTGTGCAGTAGGAGCAGAGTGGGAACACGATCGCATTGGTTCTGCCCGAGAGGAGTTCATGAAGGACACTGATAAGTTTGATGAGGATGATGATGAAATTCTGAAGATGATTGCACAACAGAATAAGAATAGGCTATGAATTATTAAATGATAAAGTAGGGATAATAGTTTTTTCAAATGAAAACTAAAATAATGTGAAATTTGTATAGATTTTCAAGCCTTTTGGTCATTAACTCTCTAATAAAATTAGTGTACTCATACGTTTGTTTTCAATAATAAATACTATTTCTTTTCATATTGTGTTTTCGTATATTCATTGTTACTTTGCTTGAATTGCCAGTGTTTCTTAGAAAACCCAGAAATTTTCAATGATAGTTTTCCTTTTCTTCTGCTTATAAATTACAATTTCCAGGTCACTCTCATGATATATGGAGCACTCTTCCATATGGGCTGCTAGCACCAACAGCCTGGTTGAAAAGGCAGTCAACAGGGATGGAAAAACCGTCAAAATGGGAGAGGTATTTCTAAGGGATTTGCTAATTAGCACCCTTTTCCTTCATATATTTTTTCTTTTGTGTAATTATTTGTTTTGCCTCATTCTCACACTGCTTGCCAACAAACTGCCCTATGCATTAGGTCAAAGGATTGTCCCTGTCCACTTTTTTTTAATTTTCATATCATTGCCTGTGTTGTGGAGGTTAAAGAGAACTGACTCTGTAAATATTCTTTCCTGGTGTTGCAGGTGGAGTGTTTAAGTTGCCTCAATCATCTGGTGATATATGTTGACTGTGTTAGTGGTCTGGGGAGGTCTTACTGCCCTGGTTCTGGACCAAGATCATTCTGTATCATCCCAATGTTTTTTTTTTATTAACCCTTTCAGGTTTTCGGCGGTACTAGTACGGCTTATGCACTAAGGTTTTTGACGTACTAGTACGCTTAAATTCTAGCGCCCTCAAATCTAGTGAGTGAAAGCTGATAGGCCTACATATGAAAGAATGGGTCTATGTGGTCAGTGTGCGCAGTATAAAAAATATCCTGCAGCACTCAGTGCGTAATGAGAAAAATAAAACTTTGACCGTGTTTTTGGATTAAAACAGCGACTTTACACTGTACATATTTTTGTATGGTATTTATTGTTGTACTCTGGTTTTCCTGGTCTCATTCTTTATAGAATGGAAGACATATTACAGAAATTGAGATGATTTTGACTGGTTTTACAATGAAAAGCACCTTGAAATTGAGCTCAAAGTAGCAGAAATTTTCGATTTTTACCAAAGATCAAAAGTAAACAAATCATGCTATGCGTCCAATACATGTCAACTGGTGAGTCTAATATTCTTTCACAAGTGTGCTGATATTATTTATACCATTTCTATACTAATGCAATAGCCTGCATAACAGTAAATCTTCTATTTTTTGTGAGAATAAAAATTCAAAGTGGAAAGCAAAAGAATGTAAGAGTGGCCTGGGGACATGACTAATGAACAGAGGAAATGTTATTTTAGTGCCAGGAATGCCTTTCTTATTTATTCTGGACCCTATTCGGAAATTGGCATCTTGAAATTTGTGTGAAATTGGCAAAATTGCTAAATTCTGACCACTGTATTGGATAGTTGAAATCGGTAAATGGGTGGTTTCTTGTACTCATTCGATAGAAAAAATGGAGTTCTAGCGAAATAGTTATGATTTTTGTCGACTAGTACACTGGAATTGGCTGAAAATAGAGCTCAAAGTGGGCAAAATCACCGATGCATAAACATCGTCGAGACAGCTAACTTTGCAAGAGCATAATTGCGTAAGTTTTTGATCAAATTTCATACTTTGGGTGCCATTATGATCGGGAAAAGATTCTCTATCTCTTCATAAGAAAAAATATTTTTTTTTTTTGAAATTTGGGCGACCCTGAGAACAAGTCTCGGAGAGGGCCTGGGGACCCTGAAAGGGTTTATACATCGGCCGATTCCCACAAAGGCAGGGTGGCTAGAAAAAGAAAGACTTTCATCATCATTCACTCCATCACTGTCTTGCCAGAGGGGTGCTTTATGCTACAGTTATAAAGCTGCAACATTAACACCCCTCCTTCAGAGTGTCGACACTGTACTTCCCATCTCCAGGACTCCATTGCGGCTTGCCGGACTTAAGTACGGCCTCTCCTCACTTAATGACAGAGTTCCATTCCTAAGTCAACGTCGGTAAATGAACTTGTCACTAAGTGAGGAGCATACTATAATGGTAGTGAGTTTGTGTCAACCATCTTTGATATTGTTTTAACCCTTTGACTGTCGAGGTTGTATATATACGTCTTACGAGGTACAGTGTTTGATGTATATAATATACTCATAAATTCTAGCGGCTTCAAATCAAGCAGGAGAAAGTTGGTAGGCCCACATGTGAAAGAATGGGTCTGTGTGGCCAGTGTACACCATATTAAAAGAATCCTGGAGCATGCAGTGCATAATGAGAAAAAAAAAACTCCGACCGTTTTTTTTTATTAAAATGCCGACTTTGTGGTCTATTTTCGTATAGTATTTATGGTTGTATTCTCGTTTTCTTGATCTCATTTGATAGAATGGAAAACATATTATAGAAATAGAGGTGATTTTGATTGATTTTACTATAAAAATAACCTGGAAATGGAGCTCAAAGTAGGGGAAATGTTTGACTTTTGCTGATGTTCAAAAGTAAACAAATGATGTCATTGTCCAATAAATGTCCAACTAGCCATTCTGATATGCAGTCATGAATGGGTTGATGCTGTTTATACAATTATTACAGTATTGCAGTAGTCTGCATAACAGTAAATCTTCTATTTTTTGTTTGAATAAAAATTCAAAATAGAAAGCAAGAGTAATATCAGAAGGGCCTGGAGATGTGACTGATGAACAAAGAAAATGTTATTTTAGAGCCAGGAATGTCTGCATTGTTCATTCTGGACCTTATTTTGAAATTGTTATATTTTTTAATTTTCGTGAAATTGGCCAAATTGCAAATTTCTGACCACGTTATTGGGTAGTTGAAATTGGTAAATGGGCAGTTTCTTGTACTCAATCGATAGAAAAAATGGAGTTCTAAATAAATAGCTATGAGTTTGGTCGACTGGAACAATGGAATTAGCCAAAAATAGGGCTCAAAGTGGGCGAAATCGCTGATTTGTAAATATCGCCAAGGTCACTAACTTCGCGAGAGCATAATTCCGTCAGTTTTCCATCAAATTTCGTGTTTTTGGTGTCATTACAATCACGAAAAGATTATCTATCATTTCATAAGAAAAAATAATTTTTTTTTTTTTTTTTTTTTAAATTTTTCGACACCAGGAGACACTTCAGGATTGGGGACTGCGACAGTCAAGGGGTTAATGTCACTTTTGCACCATATATAACATTTCTTATATTTTTTTAAATGTTTATACAGCAGTGTCCTGTATATTGTAATAAACAGAATAGAGGAAATCAGCTCTTAATATACATTATTTAGGTATGCATGCTTGTCAGAGAGCCTGTCATAAGTCTGAATTGTCGGTAAAGGAGTATATACACTGCTAAGTAAGAAGAGGTTGTATACAGGTCTCGTTATTATTTTGAAGTACAGTGGACCCTCGGTTTTCGTGTTGAATCCATTCCGGAGCCATCGGCCAAATCCGAAAGAATTTTCCCCATAAGAAATAATGTAAATGGAATTACTCTGTTCCAGACATCCAGAAGTATCAACAAAAATATTTTTTTTACCTTAAATATACATTTACATGCACAAAGAATGAACATTAAACATGACACTTACCTTTATTGAAGACTGTTGTTGCTGGAAGGAAGACAGGGAGGAAGGGAGAGTGAAGAGAGGTTATTCTTTGGAAGGAGAATCCCCATCCATAAGGACTGTCGGTACCAAGTCCTTATCCAGGGTCACTCCCTTCCTTTGTTTTTTAATGCCACTAGGACCAGTTTGAGAGTCACTGGACCCCTGTCACACAAAATATTTGTCCAGATAGGTCTGTTTCTGGCTTCTCTTTAAGATTTACCTAAAATGTGACATGGCATTGTCATTGTAAAAGTCGCCAACACGGATTGCAACAGCTTCTCAGGGTGATGTTCCTCCACAAATGACTGCACTCTAGTCCACACTGCACAAATCTCCTTAATCTCTGAAAAAGGCACCTGCTTCCATCTCTCTTCCTCTTCCTCTGCAACAATTTCCTGTGCTGTGGTATGTTGCTGTTGCAGATGAAGCTCTTGCAGCTCATCAGTGGTTAGCTCTTCATTGTGGTCCTCCACCAACTCTTCCACATTGTTGCCACACACATCCAACCCCATGGAATTCCCCAGTGCCACAATTGATTGCACAACAGGTGTAGGGTCGACAGGGTCAGCCTCAAACCCTTAAAAATCCTTCTTTTTGACACAATCTGGCCACAGTTTTCCCCAAGCAGGGTTCATCGTCCTGGAAGTCACTCCCTGCCAGTCTTATCTATAAGGCCTATGCAGTGGAAGATATTGAAGTGATTCTTCCAGAACTCTCTTAAGGTCAATTCAGAGTCCAAGGTTATGTCAAAGCACCTTTGAAACATTGCTTTGATGTACAGTTTTTTGAAGTTTGCAATGATCTGCTGGTCCATGGGTTGGATGAGGGAAGTGGTGTTAGGAGGCAAGAACTTCACTGTTACAAAGCTGAATTCCTTAGACAATTGATCTTCCAAGTTTGGAGGATGAGCAGGAGGCACTGGAGTGGCAATTTATTATCCAGGAGGTATTTTTTCACACGGGCCAAACACTTCATTAAACCTTTCCAGGAAAATTTCCCTGGTGACCCATGCCCTACATCACACACAATGTACTCTTCACAACACTGCTTTTCTTGAACACTCTGGGATATTCAGAGTGATACACCAGTAAAGGCTCCACTTTGAAATCCCTTCTAGCATTACCACACAACAAGAGAGTTAACCTGTCTTTCATAGACTTGTGTCCTGGGAGTGCCTTTTCTTCTTGCGTGATGTAGGTCCTCTTTGGCATTTTCTTCCAAAAGAGGCCTGTTTCGTTACAATTGAACGCTTGTTGGGGTTGGAATTTTTCAGACTCTACATAATATTTGAATTCCCGCACAAATTTTTCAACCCCTTGTTTGTCTGAACTGGCACCCTCACCATGCCTTACAACACTGTGTATGCCACTTCGCTTCTTGAATTTTTCGAACAAGCCTTTACTGGCTTTGAATTCACCTTCATCACCACTTGTTTCAGGCAGTTTCTTTTTGAGATCCTCATGCAACTGCCTTGCTTTTTCACAAATAATAGACTACACA